TTCAACTTTGATGTTTGCCGGGTTTCCTAACCAGTCTCCTCTACTAACTATGGTTTCACTTTGATCAAGCTGCGTGTAACGTCAACAAAAGTGACGTAAGTGCCTCCAGAAATAGCTCCCAAAATGCAGACAACCATGAAAATTTATACAGCATACGAGGCGTGAAATCTAATATGCAGTTATCAACAGTATCTCTGAACAAAATAACAAAAAGCTGTAAAAAAGATCTTTAAATAGGTGATGTAGACTACGGAAGCCCAGGGGGGCCACATGGTGATTTCGTTTTTATTTTTCACTTTTCCATTTTTCCAAAATGTCGAAGTGAAAATAAAAAAGTTAAAAAAAAAAATGGAAAAGTGAAAACTAAAAACAAAACCACTTTGTCGCCCCCCGGGCTTGCGTAGACTGACGGAACCTTCCGCAGAGGAAGTTGGTCTGATACTTCCCGTTTTTCTCCGAAAACTGCTGAATACTGATATGCCTTGTGATTGACCCTCTGACGTGGCTCACACTGTATGAGTGTGTGTGGGAGTTTTTTGGAAGTACAGTCACCTCCCTTTATAGCGGACACTGTAGGGACCTCGAGTTAGTGTCCTCATTAGCGAGAGTCCGTAATAGCGGGAGTTTAATTCAGTCAAACGTTTGTATATTATAATTTATTTTGTTTCTTCCCCAGGTTGGGGGTGGGGGAGCAAGTTAATTCTTCTGTTTGACCACAATCGACATTTAAACCTAAAAGAACTGATGAAAAGGAAATATTTCAACGGTGAGGAAGGGTTTTAACCTTTTTACGTGGCGTAACATGCTTTGAAAAAGTAATGTTTGGTTGGTCCAGCGGGTCCCGCAATTCCTGGGATCAAACGATGCCGTTGCCCAAATGGACCATATTTTTTTTTTCTCGTTTAGTGTTAAAAGGGAGCAAGAATAGGAAGACTTTGAGGCCGCCCCTCCCGTCTCGGATGCAGTTTTGTTCGCCTGGCGATCTCATCAACTCCTCTTTGATTTGGCAATAACGGCCAGCTCCCTACAACGTAGGGGTACCCAACGTCAATTTTCGGAAAATATCTGTTTGAAAGACGATTTGAGATCTAGAATTTGTTCGGAACATTTGTTGTAAAATTCCTTGCTTGCCTGCCTCTCCTAGGATTTCCGAACATCTACAAAATGGTAAAATTGCCCATTTTTAACCGGTTTTTACCCTAGAAAGGTCACCTGGAATTTTCGGGAGCCTTTTTTCTGGCTGAAATTTTCGAAAAGGTAAGTTTTGATCCCTATAATTTTCGGATCACTAGACTGTCAGCTAGGAAATCCGAACAGATGAAAAATTTTAATGATTTTAATTTTTTGGACCCCAATGGAAGTAGCTGCACCACGGTTCAGGGTGAAGATTCTCGAATACTTTGCAGGTTTTTAATTTTCTCGCTTGAGCAGCCGCAGCGATGAAAACAGAAGCTACAAATTTCAACATAGGAAGAGGTTTGCTTGGAGAAAAGAATTTCCAAAGGGAGTCAGAGGCTACCCTAAGTGCCAGAGACTTTTCATGTCCGGTTACCGGTTCTAAGTGACCCGCAAGGTATTGCTGCTCGTGGCTTCGGCCTTCGGTCGGCCGAAGATCTCTCGGCCAGCGGCCGACACCGAAGCATGCCGCCCGCCGCACAACCTCTAGAACCCAGGGTAATCAGAGCCTTACGACAAATTTAGTGATTTTACTGAGACAAGACGCGTTTACTACGCGTGTATTGGGCTGCAAAAATTCTGTGCGTTAAATTTACTGAATTCGTTTGTTATCAAGGATACGAGTGCGATCTCTTTTAAAGATCTATCTGCATAGTTGAGTTAAAACAAATAACGTACTACTAGCTTTTACTGCTGTTGTTTTCTAATCCCATTAACAAGTTAAATTTGTCTATGAGGTAGGGCGACTTTAGGCAAAAAGTTTCGATGGGTTTTTCCTTCCTTTTTGGCGTAAGCATAGGACTTTGAAAGCCTTTTATATGAAATGCCCCATCCCCTTCCCTTAAAAATCGGCTCAACTGCAGGGGGAAAGGGACACGCAATGCCTACTGGGAGATCAGCCCGCCATTTTGTCTTTTTTCGACTTAAGATGGAAGACCATGGAAGAATGTTGCTTCTCATTCCTTGATTGAGCGTCGCCCTGTGGGTTTGCCACAGGCAGCCCAATAAAAAAGAAATCAATAATCCTGGGACCAGAAAAGTAGTATGAAATAAAGCAACTAAAAACGCCCACGCTTCACTACAACGTCGAGCTCACATTCAACGCATCTACTTCGCATGACCCTGGCCGAAGAAAAACAATTATTTGCACATCACTTGTTAAAACTGTGAATGCCTGACGTATTTTATTCCATAAGTGGTTGCTCTTACAGCCTTGAGACTTCTTTTCACCTACTAGGAAAAGAAGTTAAATTTAGACTCAGAACAATGGTATAAACGTTAAAGTTTCCTTGTATCACATTATTCACGAACAGAAATACAAAGGAAAAGCTGTCAACAGAATGTACTATCCCAGAAGCCCGTTGGCCCCTGTCTATACACATTAATATACATCCTGTACTAACAGACATTACATATACAGTTTCATGTGAAATAATTTAAAACATGAAAATAAATTATTTTTAGACGTTCAGTGAGTGCGGTGCTACGCACCCTCCATTATGGAAAACATCTGTGGCAATTTACTTTAAAGTGATCGTCTCAATTCCTTTTTGAACCTGAAAATGAAACAAACCAAAACTCCTAAAAAAAACTGGCTCACCCTCGGTGTAAGAACCTCGCTTTTCTTACTTCCGGGTGGAGAAAAGGGACGACCGGAAATACATCTGCATTCCCAGGCTACATACACCGAGGTAAACCTAAAAAACTCATATCCCCTGTATGTTTGTAGGCAGCTGCTTCATCACCCTGAAGGAGAATCCGAGGGTTTATCCCTGAATGAAGATCTTTTCCTACGGATTGTCCACCCAAGATCACGGGGAGGGGGAGGGGAGGGCCGGGAGGGGGTCAATGTCAGAAATTTGTTACGTCCCTGGTGTGTCTTTTACATCCCGCAGAGTCAGAATAATTTAAACTGTTGCTAGACGGGGCTTACGACTTTATTGTCATTTCTGAAATGTCAAAAATAATATACAACTATCCCCCGAAGGGGAGGTGAATAGTGGTGCATATATACTGACACGCGAAGCGTCGAGGTATATATCCAGCGCTATGAACCGACCCTGAGGGGGATAGTTGTTTTAGTATTTACCAAATCAGTTGGAAAAAAATCAAAAAGGAACTTTTTGTAAACAAACGACGTCACTTAGCCAGAGGTTGTTTACGTTTCAATTGACAGTGTTTCAGGAATCATTTTTTATGATTTTGCTGCAAATTTAGTGAGAAATTTTTTTTCTACCAGCCAGTAAACACCGACAAGCCCAAATTTGTCTTATTCTAGGTATTTGTTGGTGCAGCTGCTTCATTTATCGCTAACATTTTATCTTTCGAAACTGTTGCGAAACGGGAAGCCATTTTGAATTTCGTCCAAAAACAGTGAATGTCAAAGGATATTCCGAGTTACTGGAGCCAATCAGAACGCGTGAAAGTTGCTATCCACTGATTTGGTGAATACTAAAACAAATTATCAATTAGGTTTAGTAATGAGAGTGGCAATTTTTTTTGTTTGGCTTGATCGGCACATGGATTTTTGTAGGTTCAAACCACGTGACCTGGTCAAGTGTGAGTAAGGTTTGTTTGGGAGCTAGGAAGGTTTGCACATGGCAGGCAGCACGTGACACATTCTTTTTCAAACGGAAAACGCGCTTGAGTTGAGAGGTATTAAATTATTGTAAGATACTAAGTGTTGTGTTGATCTAGCAATGTAGCCGTTTTGTCTCGTCACGCAACGCCCCTCACCAATATGTGAGACTAAGGCTATGTTCACACTATACCCAATATCTGTTTAGTCAGCTATACAGCCACAGCCATGTTTAGTGTTGTGACGGGAGGAGCGTTGCGTGACGACTGTAAAAACGGCTGTGTAGCAGACTAATATCATGACACAACACCCCTCACCAATGTGTGAGACTGAGGCTATGTTCACACTAAACCCAATATCTGTTTAGTCTGCTATACAGCCACAGCCGTGTTTAGTGTTGTGATCAGAGGAGTGTTGCGTGATGACACTAAAAACGGTTGTGTAGCAGACTAATATCGTCACGCAACACCACTCACCAATATGTGAGACTGAGGCTATGTTCACACTACACCCAATATCTGTTTATTCTGCTATACAGCCACAGCCGTGTTTAGTGTTGTGACTGGAGGAGTGTTGCGTGACGACACTAAAAACGGCTGTGTAGCAGACTAATATCGTCACACAACACCACTCACCAATGTGTGAGACTGAGGCTATGTTCACACTACACCCAATATCTGTTTAGTCTGCTATACAGCCACAGCCGTGTTTAGTGTTGTGACGGGAGGAGCGTTGCGTGATGACACTAAAAACGGCTGTGTAGCAGACTAATATCGTCACGCAACACCCCTCACCAATGTGTGAGACTGAGGCTATGTTCACACTACACCCAATATCTGTTTAGTCTGCTATAGAGCCACAGCCGTGTTTAGTGTTGTGACGGGAGGGGCGTTGTGTGATGACACTGACTAAAAATGTCTCGCCGTCACGAAACTCCTACCAGATGGGGCTTCTGTTCACTTCTGAGAATGGTGATTTCGGCGCCATCTCTGTAACGGAATGAAAGGTGCGCCGTGCCAGTTTTGAAATTGGAGGGTCATATATCGGATTGGTTTTCACATTATACCGGATAGCTTTTTGTGTCGGCAGGAAAAGCTATCTAGTATAGTGTGAACATAGCCTAATGGTTGGCAGGACACTATGAACTATGAAGACTGGCACCCAAGTAACAAAGTTTGCGCTACACTAGAGCACTTACAGTATATTAAGATAGCTACGCCCTGCCCAATAAAAAATAATGCAGCTTCTAACCTGATCTGACTTCTTTAAAGAGAGCATTGTTCACATTGCACTTGTTAGTGCATATTGTATCTGTAAGGAAAACATATTGAAAAATTAGACACAGTTGATAAATAAATTCAAAATCCTCTGGTAAATCTATTTTGCCAAGGCCACCAAAAATAGCTCTTACCGTCACCATGGTATCGAGCTTTTTTAAACATTTTTTGCTGGGAAGGTTGAGGGTGAGAGGGTTGATGTAAAGTCAGTTACCGCAAAAAGAAAATAGCCGCAATTACTTCGACAACAACATTGTCACTCATTTTAAGCTTAATTTCCAGTGATATTCCTCGATTGCCTGTGTCAATACTCATTAAATAAAGGCCTCACTAGGTTAGGGTTCGAGTCCCGGCTCCCAAATCCCGAATCCGGAATCCTGGTTCAAATCTGAATTTTTTCAGGCTTTTATTTTTTCACAAATACAGAAGTCAGAGAGTTTAGCCTGCCTGGCTGGCGTTCGAAAGGGAAGGTAAAGAGAATTTGGGCACAAAACCACTTCGCAGAAACCCCAAATCCCCTTTCCCTTCCTTTCCTTAAATATGCTACCTATCACTCACCTCATGGCTGGCACTTGGTTTATGGATCGCACTGCTCTGGAAATCAAAGCCGTCATAGCAAACAAGTTGATACAGGCATCAGCCATTCGATTCAACAGAAGCTGCTCCTTGATAATGTTCTTAAAAAGCGGAACACCACAGAAAAGAATGTTAGGGGCTTCTCTAAGATAAGTTATGCCGGCCCTCGCACTACTGTAAACTCAGCATTCTAATTTGCTACACATTTGCAAAGCGAATCACCAGGAAAATCTTTCTAGCCTACGCTTTCACTTAAACAACCATTGGTCATGCTTGGCATATAAGAGTAACTGGAACGTGAAAAAACCTGTTACGACCTTTCTCGTATTCAGTGCTGAATTATAACAACAAACTAAAAAAACTGCATCTCTTTTTGAGCTCTTTCTAGATTGTTTCGGTTGGGGGGATCAGCTCTACAGAAGTTTGACTTTTTTAAAGTGTTTTATTAAACGAGGCCATTAATACCAAAAAAAGTTTAAAAATGTAAAATGCAGATAAATTACAGAGTGTAGTACCTTTCCGTAATTGGTGAGCAAAGTTTCTGATATTCTACCAAAAGTCCTGGAACACTTCTGCATTTCTCAAGGACGTTTTCCAATTCACACAGGCCCAACCCTCCCTCACCCATGTTGGACATGTGTATCGACTATCCTGAATTTTTACCAACTTTCAACTTTGTATAGGGGGGGAGGAGGGAGAACTGCAAGAAGATTTTAAAACGGATGGCACTGTTTTAAGAGGGAACCGAGAAATGACAGAAAAATAAGAATATTGCAGTACTGTCTCAAGGACTTTTGTCCAGGATAATAGAAAGATTTATAGTTATGTTTACAGCAAACGTTAAATTCATACCATGTGACCAAGTTTTCCCTTAACTTTGTTGTGCAATTTACTGTTTACTAATTCTACCACAAACTTAGTAGCTTCACATTAGTTATGTCTTGTTTTTAGCTGCACATTTTCAATTTTGAGAAATTCTAAACTTGAATCTGACATTTTCTGTTTCCTGACAATACAACTCTCAGTCTCTCTAAAGTATTGTCTTGCTTAAGAACACAGTTTGAAATTGTGCTAGCAAATCAATAATCTCTTACTTAGTGTAGCTGTTTAGAAGCTGTGATCCTGAAGCACTCATCAGTTTTGCTAACTTGGCCATGAAGTCAGCATCTTCATCCTAAAAGTGATGATTCAAATGACAAATTAAACAAAAAATACATTCACCCATTCACCCCTGGGAATATGGAGGAAACTGCGTATTGAAGCTACAATCTTGGACAAAAATGTTACGCTTACACATGAATAATCATTTTACCTCTTGTGGTTCAAGGATGCTGCTTTTCTCCAGAACGCTCAGAAGAGATTCCACCAGTTCTTTCTTCGCCAGTGGCTCCATTCCCTTCATGATAATCTCATGTATGCAATCACAAGCGCTCTCCCGAAGAACTTCAACTGACATGTACCGGAGAAAGGTACTACAAAGAAACATGATCAATTTGTAAGCAGGACACAAAATCAACGGTTGTGCTAATAGTAAAATCCTCTTTTTACAGTTTTCGGCAATGAGAAATGATGCTTTTCCATATTATTAGCTGCCAGTTGACTTCAACCACTGACAGGCTACTTGCAAAAACTGACTTTATGAGAATTGAAAGCAAACAATAACACATAGCAAAGGAAACATTTTTACCATCAGTCAGCGTAAAACACAGACTGATGACTATTGTTTTCACAAAGCAAATGCGGACAATGTGACAACAAAAGTAACATTGTGAAAAATGAAATAATCAGCATGTCACGAGCGTGGGACAAAGAAAAAATCTGAGTCCCTGACAGGATTCAAACCTATGAGCTCCCAAACACCGGGCGGATGCTCTATCCACTTGACCTACGCAGAACTCATGGAGAGGGAGGCCATAAATTATACTACAGGGTGTACATTCAAATTTTACCATCTTTCATTCTTTCACCAAAAGTCCCATTGTTTTCTAACCCTAAAAATATTATTCCGCGTAGTCTACAGTCAGTCCACAGTCTGCATTAACTTTACTCTGCCTCTTTTACAATCAACATTACCTGATAAACCTGTCATTTGCAATTAGGCCAATATCGATCCATTCAATATGCTCCAATAATGTCCAGGCAAAGGCACCTTATTGATGACACACTATTTTCATATGTTTTCTGCACACAAAACGTAATAAAAAAAACAGTCAGCAAAACCTCAACCTCATTGTTGAACCAAAATACAAGATTCCCACCTACCAGAATCTGAAACCAAGAGTCAACGAGCTCTGTGACGCATGTATCTCTGATGTGATCTTTAATTTTCGTGTTCCTCTCTGCTTCCTGTTCATGGAAGAAAAATTTCATTCAGCTTCTAAACTGATTGATCAGTAAATGGTTTTACAAACTTGTACAAGGACAAATAACGGAAACTCCACAAAAGTTGACAGCCTTAAATCAAATCTTTGAGTCTTTAGACAAGTTTCAAGATGTGACAACCAAGATTCTAGAAGCAGTGTTTTAACTCCAAAGGATTTTGATATTCATAAGGAGGAGCAATTTCACACATGTACAGCGTAGCCCTTTGCACAGCATGATTAGATTCATATTCAGTCCGGAATATCCCTAAATTTAAGGACAGGGCCAACTGGTCACGCGACACTTTTCAACCAATGAGAGGGCGCGCTTGTGTTTATCAACAAACAAATCAAAACATGGCCCCAGTGATCAAAAATTTTCAAAACAACAGACGGAGTCGGACAGAATTAAAGATGAGCTTACAGTACTCGCCTAGGTTTCACATTTAATATTTCAAAGAAAACATTTCATGTAAGAGAATAAGAGCATTAATCATTGCAAGGAACGAATCATTGGGGTGTTTTAACTGATTCCGGACCGATCGTAGAGGTCGTGGCTTCACTGGTATGGCTTGCAAGATTTTTGATAGAAGCAAACTAGTCCCGTGTAAAAATAGCCTTAGAGAGAGCGTGAAAATTTGTTGAGATCGTACAAAACAGGATTGGTACTACCTATTAACTTCTACAGGACAAGAATCAAAGAATCAGTCATCATAACAAGAATAGAAAGTAGTTCAAATTTATTAATTTTTCTTGTTTGTGTTTTGTGTTGTTTCGTGTTGACTTCACGCATCTGGTGCTTTCTTTGCTTGCTGTAGTACCTGCAATGTTTTAATTTTATCCCAGATAATCAGTGCAAGTTCAATGAGTAGCAAAATACATCATTTACAATTGAGATTTGCCTTGTTTCTTTGATTGTTTGTTAACGGTGGATGAACATTTGGAGAATCCAACAACATTAAATCTTTCCAGATTAGTGAATTTCAGAAACAAAACGGTTAGTATCTACGTTGCGCTTATGATCTTCAATTTCATCCCCGCAAATTCGGCAAAGTGAGGCGAAATGTTGGATGTGAATATCCATAAGACTAATAAAGTTGTTTTGGCATTGAAAAGAAAAAAGGCAAAGGCTCATACTAATGCGAAAAAAAGTAATAACACGGCTCTGTGAGAAACCCGGGCATCGAAAACGTACGTGTTTGGTCCTCGGAATTCAAAAATTGTCTACCAAAATTCTAGTTTGTCTACCATCCCCACATTCAACATGATAAAATTTAATCGATATGACAATCAAGGAAAAACTTCCCGAACTTCGTAAAATCTGTGAATCGAAAAAATAATAGACACTTGTTCACCTGCCTTGAAAACCGACCAAAATCTCGCCTATACATCGCGTTGTTTAAAGGATAAAAGAAGAAATAAGCCCCAAAATGTGCTGAATATTTCACGAGACACTTCCAATATGGCTTCCGATACGCTGTCCACTTAAAAAAATTGTGTATGCCTCATGAAAAGTCTTTAAAATATGCCTGAGAGCCTCGAAATGATGACTAATTCTGTCCGACTCCGTCTGTTGTTTTGAAAATTTTTGATCACTGGGGCGATGTTTTGATTTGATTGTTGATAAACACAAGCGCGCCCTCTCATTGGTTGAAAAGTGTCGCGTGACCAGTTGGCCCTGTACTTAAATTTAGGGATATTCCGGACTGATATTAGCAACGACAACTTCATGTGTGTGGCATGGTGGACTTTGTCACAACAAAAACAACTTGAATGACAAGATTTAACAAGCTTTTATATTAGGCAAATAAAAAATTTAGGTACAGTCCAAACCCGCTTTACAGACACCCACTAAAATGGGTTCAGCTTCAGTGGCTGCAAGCTGCTTGTATGAGATGTTAGGTAGTACAATATTATATAGAATTGAATAGGTTATCAATTTCTGTTTGATTGTACCCCTCTCTGTTGGAGATATATTTTCACCAATGGAAATTGTAGCATTACAGTTTTTAAAACAATACACAAAATTAACCTGTTGACTCCTTATCACATCTCTATCAACCACTTCCTCATCAATTGCCTTCAAAATCCTAAGATACATATCCACAGCTAATGCTCCATATTGCAAGCACTGGAGAAGGTCTGAGAAAAACAGCGGCCACTACAGGGAGAAGACAAATGTAACATGAAGTTAAACAACATTTAATGCAGTTAACCCCAATAGTGACCAACAGCAATTTTCTCCTAACAATGTCCATACATTGTCAAGAGATGAGGTTATGGGAATTAATAAAATGATCACTTAAGAGAAAATACTTTGATCTTTTATCAAATTCTCTTAACTAATTTTGTAAGGAAATGTATAGAGATCAGTGTGGAGAATTTGTAAGTGGATATTGGGGCTTAAAGGGTTAATCACAAGGAGCGCCATCGTGTGTTGTTGCTCAGCAGTCAGTGTCGCAGCTCAAGCACAGTCACCCTTGCTAACATCAGCTCCATGTGCTTAGTACAATGCTTTCCAGGTGACTTCTTGCTTTGTTCAGCCTTTAGATTGTGCCTTTCCCCCAACCCTTCCTTCCCTTGAACTTTTCTCTGATAAATCATTGTGACAGGTGCCTGGTTCCATTGGTGTGGGGGCTCATGGCTGGAAGGCGTGAGTTTACCAGCCATGAGGGCATAATCTAATGGCTGACTGTGACAAAAGTGCAAGACCCTGGTCATCCTGGGGACCTATTTTCACCAGGAGTCGCAGTTGTTACCTGATTGTCAATAGGTTTAAGTGCACACACAAAAAAAATTTCTTGCTGGCTGAGCTTGTGAAAGAGGCAGGAAATTAAATGAAGTTCTCTCACACTGAATGAAATCTGGGCACAAGTTACAATTTAGGGTATCAGTATTCGTGCTCATTACACTTGAAATAACAATAAATCAGCTAACCTTCTCAGGATAATCACAGACAAAGATCAAGCTAAAGACTTGTGCTGCCTTGTTCTTCAAGAAATTCTTGTTATCTGACTCGGTACAACACTGAAAAGTTACAACAAGGGTCAATTAAAAATCGCAGTGAAAATGTTACAATTACCGCTACAGTGTAGGTATAAGAATTCAAAGAACAAAGGTGCTATTAAGACTCTCATGGCTTTGCAAACCAATGCACAACTATAAAAAACAAAGTTTGACAATTTTGCTCTACCTTTTGACATAAAACAAGTTGTTTCAATTTGATGAAAGACAAAGAGAGAGTCTAGACCATAATAATATGTCAAAGGTATTAGCAAGACATCCTTTTTCACCTAAAGACAGACATTGCAATCTAGGGTGAGTGGCAAAAAAAAAGAAAATGTTCATTAGCCTAGTGTACCTGATTTCGTAGCCAGGTCAAAAGAATCTCTCTGAGTGCTTGTTGATCTACAAGATTTGATGACACATGTCTGTGCACAGAATAAAAAATAAAAAACATAGCCATTTTTGGGGCAGGATCACACACTTAGACAAGATCATCCAAGATGTCTTGAAAGTACAGGAGACTGAAGCATGTGCATACTGAATACAGCTAGTGATCACATGTTTGTAAGTTATTCCTGGTAAGAAAACAATTAAACCCAATCGTCTCCAGTTGAGTGTTTTTCATCATAATAGCCTACAAAATATCATACCAAGTAACATCTTTTAATAAGAGTTATTCAGGATAATTTGGTGGACAAAACTTTAAAATGACGGATCAACCAAAAGAATAAAACCTTTTTGATTTTTCCATGGAAGGAAGATTAATTTTAAAATGGATGCCACATTATAATAATTATGTAAATTTATTATTAATCATTATAATTAGAAATTATCAGTGTTTCATTTTACCTTGTTTTTATGTGATGCTCTAATACTTGAAAGCAAAAGAACTTGACACTTTCATCACTAAAACAACAAAAAAAAAGAAACCAATAAGAACGTCTGCCTGGGAGGCTAAAGGCAGATGAAATTTTCTTATATCACACCCATACACAATACAGTTGATGTGATACTGGAGCTACCATATTTATTCGACTATAAGCCCAGACCCCAAACTTTGAACGTGTAGACTCGGCATAACGAGAACCAAAAATAAATCGAAAACACCCGGCTATAAGCCGAGAACCATTCATTATTACAAGACTGAATTGTTAACTACGGGAAAACCTAACATTTTCGGAAAAAAATCACATTGATTGTCATAAATGAGGCTTAGACGATAACACACACCCGCGTATACAAGAGATGCAATGGTGATTTGTTATGCAAAAAGCTTCCGTCTTAGAAAACACACGCGAATAAATAAATATTACCCGTAACTAACTATTCAATTGAGAAGCAATGAATCATAACTCAGATGAATTAATGTGATCCAAAAAATTAAATTTAAAACTAACTGTGTTGTTAAGCGGCATCACCAGTACCTAGACATCCGTGGCGTCTATCAAACAATCTCGTGCTCGGAATCGTTTATTTCAAGTCAAGTTGTCATCATGCCCAAGGCTCGTCGCACGTCATACAACCTCGCGCTTAAACTTAAAATAGTCGCCGAAGCAGAAGCTGTTGAAAATAACTCTGAAATCGCCAGAGAATATGGCATGAGTGAGTCCATGGTCCGTAGCTGGAGGAAAGATCAAGCGAACCTTTTTAACGGCGAGATTAAATTGTCAGCGAAACGGAAGACGATGGGATGCTTCACGCCGAAGTATCCGGAGCTCGATCAAAGAAGACTGGAATGGTTTACAGAACAGAGCAGCCAAGGTAAGTTTTTTGTCGAGCATTGATTTTGTATTTTAAAACAACAGAAACAAGACCACGAAATAAATCAATCAGCTGATTGCAGAGTGAATATGAGTTGAATGCGTGACTCTCAAAACTATCGTAGTATCATGTGACAACATTGTGTATGAAAGATTCTCATTGGCCAGTTTTCACAAATGTCAAAACAAATTCAAGACGTGTCAAATTTTTAACCTTTCGATCGTTCGCCTGGATCGTTTGGTAACCTTCTCACTTCGTTTTACATAGGAATAGCCGTTAGCGGATTGATGCTACGTCTAAAGGCAAAGGAATTCAGCGAGGATCCTGAGTTTAAAGCGTCCCTCGGCTGGTACCAGAAATGGAAGCGCCGCCATTCCGTCAGCCTTCGCACCAAAACAACACTCGCTCAGCGTCTCCCAGAAGATTTGGAGCAGCAAACAGTCAAGTTCCATCGATTTGTAATCACATCCCGTCAGCGTCACGGTTATTCCCTATCAAGAATCTTTATCTTTTCTGTGAAAACACATTAAATTTATCAAACGCCTCCTTTAGGAGCCACCACATTCTTAAAAGTTAATAACCAACGATTGCATATTGTGTTTCTTTACTTTAGCTCGGCTTATACGTAAATACATCTCGATTTAGTAGAGTTTCCATGCGCCGGGAAAAAATTTTTTTCAAAAACTTTCGGCTATAAGCCGAGACCCCCTCTAGAGCCCAAATTTTAATTCACTTCAGTTTTAGTTTGTGTAAAAATCGCTCGGCTTATAGTCGAATAAATACAGTATGTACATGTACTAGAATACATGCGCATGTGAGTGGCACCCTTAAGATGAGAGAAATGTGTCCATAACTTAAGCTGATCACTTAAAAGAATGGTTCTCGTCTGCAGCCACTAGAGGTGAAAGGGTTATATCATTGGCAGCTTATGGGTGCTTACTCAGCTACAACATTACAGTTTGGCATCCATTGATAAATGTCAAATGTGAAAAGTGGGGTACCCATAAAGCGGTATGAACTTTATAGTGATTGACAATTTTCACACTTTCCAGAAGCAATACAGAAACAATACGAACTGGTATGTTACAATTATTTTAAGTGTTGGAATCAATTTTAAAGGGTTTAAATTACATGTGCTAATTGGGATTAAATTTAGACAGATAGACTGAAGTATTGTTAGTTGCGTGAAGTTTTATTCTTAAATTATTTTGTGGTATTCCTAGCAAGAACAATAATCAGGAAAAGGATATACACAGGTGATTGACACTCTCACGTCATTTTTCATGATCGTCAATTATCAATGGTTGCATTTCTGTGATGAATAAATATCGGGATACCAAAATAACTGTTTGATACAGTTGCTCTGACAATGCTGTAATTCAAGCACAAGCATAAAATTCAAGTGGTGTTTTGACGCGTAATGGCAGGTATGTGAAAAAAAAAACTGATATAAGCTGAAAGAAGAGCTGTCTACTTAAGAAGAGTGTACTGGCCAGAGTCTAAACTGTATCAACTGGGTATAACTGGGTATATACACAGGTAAAAACACACACAGTTTTTCAAATAATTAACTTTTTCAATAACTGCAACACACTTTATGACATTCTAGCTCCATAGCTGATTAGCCTGTGTAGCTGGCAAGACAAGCAGGTGATTGCTGTTGTTTTTGGTGTTGGAGCCACAAGAAGATTGGGAGCATTCAGCAAGTCAAATTGAAATCCCGCTTGCTTTAATTGTTCATTTCCTGCAAGCCCGATTTTGTTTGCAGGATTTTGATGGAACCCCACTATAACAAACTGCCATGGTACCAAAAAATTTGTTGGTCATAGTGGGGTCTTCGCTATAGTTAAGCAAAGCAGGCGAAGAGGTAGTCTGGGGAGGAGAAAGGGTAGAGCCTGGAGAAATGCCTTGATGCCGCCAATCCACCCTTGTTTATCTTTTACAATCTTTTCTCGAATTGTATAAGCATAATATTGAAAGAGCGCGATACTGTCCACAGCACCGTGAATCTGTCAACATGAAGACATTTGACACCAGAATGGTATCACAGAATTGCAGCTAGCCTGCGTAGCAAGCGTTTCCGTTTGGTTTCGGAGCAAAGAAATACCGAGGAAGAGGACTTTCGGTTTTGACCGCACGAGAAATGAAACGAGAGCCAAAAAGTGAAAGAGGGGGGAGGGGGAGGGGAAGGAAGGAAACGCTTGCAGACAAACCCCTCGATTTTGAAAACCTGCGTTCGCCAGTGAACGCAGCGCCTGATTGGCTCGGCTAGTCGAACAATGTGTCGATCAAAGGTTTGTTTCATACTGAGAGGTCATGTTTGGTACGTGACACGCATATTAATTGTCTGTGGTTATTGTTTATTCTGGTCGGCAAGATTTTCCCTCCAATGCAAGAGCATTTTATTTAACTTCCTTTGAAACACAAAGCTCTTCTTGCGACTTTATAAGGGTTTCAGGTCGTTTTATTTGTCTCCTGGATCTGAATAACTAAAAGCGATTTTCTTTTGTCAGGGAATGCGATGGTTTCCTGCAATGATTTTTTATGCTGGGCCCAGCTCGTTAGTGTTTTTTTTTTTGCGGGATGTCAAATTCTCTCTGATAGTGATTTACAGATACAAATTTTGAAGAATGTATTGCACCTTAAACTGAAGCTACATCAACTAGGAAGACCTGCATTGTGACTCAGTCAAAATTTCTGCTTGGTTCTCTGCTTTGTTCTAGGATGCTTTTACAAGAGCACTCTAGTTGTCTGCGCCATGGCGAGAACAGTAAGCCGTTCTGTCTAGCTGATCTAGACTTGAATGCTTGTCACATTTTACCACTTCAAATCCAACATTCTGGAGGTTAAGAGCTGAAACTTTAAAACTTCATTCACCCTGGCGGTCCTTCCTTTTAGACGGATTAAGAAGACAAATGTACAAAGCCTGCATTGATCGTACGGATTCATTGAGATTTCACTATTACCGCCGTCCACGCGCTCCAAAACACACAAAAAAATTTATTTTGGTTTCACAAACGCATCCTCTAAAGTTCATTTCCGCTCCACGGAAGGCCAAACATTTTATTGGTCAATTATGACAGTTGATGACAGCATCAAATGTCGGTGCGCGAACTCGGGCATGACAGACCAAGTGGGCGGTTTTCAAAATCCCGGGGTTTGTCTGCAAGCGTTTCCTTCCTTTCTTCCCCACCCCCTCCCCGCTCTTTTACTTGCGCCACTTTTCTCGCGGTCTTTGACTCTCGTTCCTCGTTCTTTTCTCCTAAACCGCACAGAAACGCTTGCTACGCAGGCTAAATGGCAGCATAAAATCAATGTAAATTATATGAAACAATGCATCTTTTTAATCAAGTTCTGAAATAATGCTCAATGAAGTCCAAAACGTTAAGGACTTAATACCACAGTAAAACAATTAACTTCAATATGAAATTTCAACTACCTGTAAAGATTTCGAATTAGGGCATCACCACATAGCTTCCAGCCGTCTGGGGAATTCTTTAGCTGTTCAAAATATTGCAGGGCCTATCATTATTGGCCAAAAAAAATTAATAAGAATAAAAATGTTAATGACAATGTATAATCTATGTAGGATTGCATTGCTATAGGATGTTCGAACGCCAACCGAACCGTTCAAAAGAAAAATAGTTAGCAAGAAACTCACCCCTGCCTGTGATGTCGCATTTGCGGCCGCCTGAAGCCCTTGTAGCAAATTATCGGCCATGAAGACGCATCCAAAAAATGGTCGTCGTCGACTTCACATTGCACATGGAGCTAAAAGAAACGCGACTTTCTCCTCACTGGAGTGAAAAAAGGCAGTGTTTACGGGTTCAAGAGCATTAATGATTTAATAAAATTCCCATAGGGTTTCAAATAGGCGAAGAAACGACTGAGAATTTACATTTTCACTACTATTCGTATCAAAACACGAACGCTCCTACAACTTCCAACTTTCCACATGCAGGACCACGTTGCATCATGGTGACCTACATCTGGTAGGAGCAGAGGTATGAGTACCGAAGATGCTCCTTTTTCTCATACCCAGGCTACATGGGCCGCATGCTGGAGAAGACTGAGAATTATAAAAGAGTTTATAGTTCTTTGTTTTGTCGACTTTGCATATTTTGTTATACAGTCAACTCTCTCTAAGACGGGACCGGCACTAAGTGTCCGTCTTAGAGAGGTGTCCGTCTTATAGAGAGTCAAATAAAGGGAGTAAAGAAAGGCGGGGACCAACTCTAAGTGTCCGTTTTACAGAGGTGTCCGTTTAGAGCGAGTCGACTGTATCATTTCTGTCTTCTTAAAATTTTATCTTATCAGGAGTAGGCTTTGACAAGAGAGAATGAGATATTCTCTCTTGGCTTTGATACATTGTGCTCGCAAACTGTAGCATTTAGATTCAGAGGTAGCTTAGCCCAAGATCGAAATATGAGTATCGGCGAGCATCGGCATTGTTGCGTAACATTCGAAATATAAGGATTGTATGGGGAAAAAACGCTTCATTTCTGTAACGTACGAAAATGAAAGGATTTCAATAAAAATAGCTTACCTTACATAAAATGTGTGTTACATCTCTCCTGTGTGGTTCATGGGCCGATTTATGACCGTTTTATGAGTTGTACTGTAAACGGTTTTCTGTCTATATATAAACCTTATATATTGATTTTGATAATTTCTCAGGCTAGATGTGAAAACAGGTATGGATTTTAGAGGCCAGGTATGAAACCGGTGTGAAAAATGACATTTTTTGGTCTAAAATAGGGTTAGGATTTGGAGAACTGGGTGCGCATACCCCCACCAAGAATTCCAAGGAGTACCTCCCAGGCCTTATTTCGTCTAGAAACTCAAAGACAGCATCATTCATTGTCTGGCAGCTTTTATACAAAAACTCAATCAATATCGAAAATCAGCACGCGGACGTTTTCGTTATCGTATAAACTGAGCTTTTTATGAGGATGCGTTGAATCCTGAGGAAAAAGTCTTGGGTCACTTCTTGTAAGAGCAAGGTCCCAGTGACAATAGGCAAAAAAAAAATGATTTTGTAACTTAAATTTGGCAATAGCCTGAAATCTATGTTGGTTCACAAAGGCACTGTCCTCAGCAAAGGCTTTTTTTGGGCGACACACGCCAATCAGAAGTGGACTTTTTGCATTCATGAGTAGTATAGGAGGGACCGAATTAACCCCTTTTTTGCGGAGGATTCTCATTAGAGTGCGGAGGAATAAATTAACGTCGCTGACGTCATAGGCTATTGTCTTGATCTCATGAATAAAATGCGCAGGAATCTCATTAACTTGCGGTGGAATCTCATTAAGTATATCCAGTTTGACGGGTTTATCAATGACGTCATGTGCTATTTTTATTTTGTGGCGGTCATGGTTGGTATAACCGGTTTGACAGGTTTTAGTTATTTTCGGAAGATGATGTCATATGTATTCCGGGGTACTATGATGTCATAGTTGTTTTGATTGGTTGACCGAAATTAGAAAAACGCTCATTGGCTGTCTCGTTTGACGAAGCATTCTGGTTAGTTGCCGTATTTTTATTGTTTGAACGGTATAAAAGCCTGCTCACTGCCTTCCCGCATACTAATTTGGATTTCCTGCATACTAATTGTCTTCCTGCATACTAATTCGGTATAGGTTTACTAATAAGTGTCACTCTACTACAATAGGAACAATAGGCTTGCCTAGACTTGCCCGATAAGTAACTTGAGCCCGGTTTTCGGACCGTCTTTTAAAAGAAAAATAGGAATAAGAGAAGCGATCACCTAGCAACGCGAGAGACGGCTTCCTATATCTTATTTAGCGCTAAAACTCGGATATATATAAACAAAACATACACAAATTGGAGCTGTAAACTCTTTATTTCAAGTTTGTCTGACTATTACAGAACTGTTTTCTCCTTTCTATCTCGAGGAAAAGAAAAAAAACTATTGAAGTCTTGTCATTTTCACGCACGGTTAATCAGTTAATTATGCGAGTTCACAAGCCCAAAGTTGAATACAA